AGATACACATTTTAATTTTACCTTTATAGTCAGAAATCAGGGCATTTTGTGGATCTTGAACTGGAAAGAGGGGAGGGGTATTTGTGACCCCTGAGGCCAACACTGGGGAGGACCACTGTGCCAATTGTCCTGCTGGCACACCAAGTACTTCCTTCCCCACCAGCAACACACATTAACCTCTTTCCCTTGGAAAAGTCAGTATATAGAGGCTCATTGGTACTAAGAGAGACAGTCTGTAACCAACTGTTGGAGAGAGAAAAGAGACTCATTCTCTATTTGGATATCAAGTTAAATTGGATCTAGCCCATTCATCCTCTGGGCTGTGTGAGAAATCATGTCATGTGTGCTGGACTTCGTCTTCCTTTTTTGACCCTGATCTTTAGTTTTCCCCAACTTCTGTGCAGATTGGAGAGCGGCGCCAGGATGGAGATGGCAACCTCGGTGGTCCAGAAGGAGTCTCAGATTATACAAGTGGAGAAGAATACCTCTGCCTCACCTACACAGAGCACCTGGTGTCACTCTGCCCAGCTACACAGTCACCTGTACTGCAGCACGCAGACCACAGCGCTGAGCAGCAGAAACCAGAGCCCAGGGCATGACAGAGAGTCCGTCAGTAAGAGCAAGGCGCCAGAAGCCAGCCAGGAATTCTCAACATCAGACTAAGAAAATGGCTCAGAGCAGAGCACACACCAGGCAAGTCCCAGAGCCTGGATCAAATCCCAAGCACCAAATGGCCTCCTGAGCACCACAGGAGTCTCCCCCCACCCAAAGAGAAACAAACAGAAAGAAATGTGATATAGATAAAAGACCTCCCTAAAAAACAGCCACCGAAACCAAAATGAAAGACTCTCAGCCACTAAAACAGGAGCCATGGAAGCCGCAGTGACAGCACAGGGGGTAGGGTGTTTACCTCACACACTTTCCATTCGGGTTCGATCCTTGGCATCCCACATGGTTCCCTGATCACCACCAGAAATGATTCCTGAGTGCAGAGCCAGGAGTAACCCCTGAGCCTCACCGGGTGTGATCCAAAAAGAAAAAAAAAAAAAAAAAACAGGAGCCATGTTGGCAGGCCTGCAGTCCTCACGAATGCACAGCAGGCCTCCCCCTTCATGCAGGCGCAGCACAGAGAACAGGCAACCACCAGAGTTCTCGGCTGGGGAAGAAGGCTCTGAACTGCTCTGCCCTCTGCAGACCATACCCTCCCTGAGTGGGGACACCCCCCCCCCCCCCCCCCCCGTCACAGACTGTCACTGACATCAGGCACCCGGGGTCAGCAGGGTTAAGGGCAGCACCCAGCATGCTGCCCGGCCACATGACTCGTGGCACCAACAGTCCCATCTATCATTAGGACAGGCAACAAGCTGCCTGGACTGTACCGGGTGGTTCTCAACACTTGATATGCTTATGGCATCCAAAAGCAGAAAAACGTATCCTTAGAGCTGAAAAACTGGGAGCCAGGACCAGGTAAATTCTTTCTATTTTTGATCTGTGAGAAATTTCAATATAAATATGGGAACTTGCATGAACTCAACATACAAAGAGCTTCAGCAATTCAACCTTAAGACAAATGTAAATAAAACTACCAGATGTTTCTAGACACTGTCATTAGGGTTTTTTTGGGGGGCAGTTTTCTTTAATGGTGAACCTAGTATCTAGATAGGCAGCTGAACTCAGCTTAGAAGACCCCCTTCCAGGCAACAGCCAAGGCATCAGAGTAATGAACCACTGGTCTTCTCTGTCAGGTCTGACAAAGATGCTGACCTTGACCTCGCCTAGGTCAGCTCCTACACTGCCTCCTGGTCTGGGCCATGCACCAGGAGCACACGTGAGTGGCTGTCAAAGACACTCTTCGTGGCTGACTCCGTGGTCAGAGGGAACCAGATGAGGGCACAGCGGCTACGCCTGCGACTCTAGGTCGCTCTTCTGAAGGCACACAAGTTGTCCTGGAAGCCCAGTCTCAGAAGATGGTGAGATGAGACCTTCCTGCACTGCCTTCGTGGCCTTCAAAGCGTTTACTGTGGCTTCGGCTTTGGGTGGAGAAGGGACTGTCATCTTGACTTTTGATGCTTCTTTGTGAAAATTAGATTTTTTAAAAACGAACCCGAGTAGGGTGACAGAGCACCAGAAATAGAAAGCCAACACGGGTCAGAAAGTTAGCTCAGAGGGCTAGAGTGCAGGCTTTGCATGAGGAATCCTAGGCTCGATCCCCAGCACTGCCTGGTTCCCCAATTACAGAGCCAGGAAAAGCCCCTGAATACCACTGAGTATGGCCCCAAACCAAAAATATATGTAAACAAATGAAAACCCACTTGGCCAAGGCATGGGAGGACAGCAGATACTGTTCTCCCCCGCACTGACCTTTCAAGCAGGAGGTGCTCGGAGTGATTACAGGAGACTAGGCACCAACTCGAATGTTCTGTGGTTATGAACCATTTCCCAACAAGCAGCTCTGGAGAGGCAGGAACTCAGCAGGGAGTGACCAGACACTTCTGAGTGACACTGAATGATGTGGAGCAGTTCCCATGGTGGGGGTCTCCCCAAGGCTAGAGACAACTGAACCCTTAGCACAGAGCCCTGGCCCAGTGATTTGATCCGGAAGGAGCAATCCACATCCTCCTCCTCCCAATGCCATTCATTAGTCCTGACACAGAGTTCTCCGCTGGGCCTCGCTGTCTGCCTCGGGGTGGGAAGACCACTCAGATCACCTTGTAGTTCTGCCTGAAGATTCACACTTTCTGATAGTCAGTGTCTGGGTCAAAGGTGCCGCTCAGCGGGAGAGCAGTTTCCTGACTGTGAGGCCCTGGTTCAACCCCTAGCACCGCAAGACAAAAACAAAACATGGTGTCTACCCAAGTCCTAAGCCAACACTGCCTGCTCACTCTCATCTGCCTCTGCTATTTCAGTCGTTTATCTGCAGTCCAACCCAGATAACATTCAGGTTCTGCCTGTGTCCTGGAGAAAGTGCTGTCCTTTATTCCGGACATGAACCTGCTGACACCCACACACAAGACTCTTGTAGCAAATGTGACACTCTTGTCATAGCTGACACTAAAGTGTCTTTCACACCACACCTCCCCAGGGCAACCCGTCCGTATAGCCACTGCCTGCTCGGTGAGAACTGCCACTCTACCACCAAGAGCCACCACGGCCCCTGCTTCATGTCCCCTTTCCAAAGGCATGAAAAGCCACCCTCCAGGTGATCCACAATTCAGCCCATGAAAAAAGGTGTGCCCAACACCTGCTGTCCTTCCACGAACAATACTGCCCACAGCTGCCCGAGATGTGGTGCAGGAGATGGACAAAAGCACAACTGGTGGGGCTGGAGCGATAGCATGGCTGGTGGGGCATTTGCCTTGCACGCAGCCAACCCGGGTTCGATTCCCAGCATCCCATATGGTCCTTCGAGCACCGCCAGGAATAATTCCTGAGTGCATGAGCCAGGAGTAACCCCTGTGCATCGCCAGGTGTGACCCAAAAAGCAAAAAAAAAAAAACCCACCAAAAAACAAACAAAAGACAAAACAAAAGCACAACCAAAAGGCGCTTTTGGTGAAGCAGACTCCTACACCGGCAAGCCCACTCAGTCCGAGCAAGCTCGCACTCCAGCAAAACCAACACAGCAGGAGTGAGCACGGGGCTTAGGGCCTTTGCCCGACTCAATCCCCAGCACCACATAGTCCCCAAGTGCTCCCAGGAGTAACCCAAGCACTACTGAGGGTCACCCCCACCCCCCAAACTACTGAGATGCCTACAGGGCTGCAGAGGGAGCAGGCCATGCCCAGGAGCCCCGCTGTTCACACCGGATGACACCTTGGGCTCAGCCAGTTCCAGCCCTGTATGAGTGGGGGTTCTCCCCACAGCAGCCCCTCACCCCCGTCTGTAAGAGAGCTACTCCTTCAACCCCGGTAAGGCTATTTTTTTTTTTTTTTTTTGCGTTACACTCGGCAATGCTCAGGGGTTACTCCTGACTTTGCACTCAGGAATTACTGCTGGTGGTGCCTGGGGGACCATATGGGATGCTGTGAATCGAACCCAGGTTGGCCGCGTGCAAGGCAAAAGTCCTACCCGCACCCCCGATAAGGCTATTAAACTTGGCAACTTGGACTCTGCCAGCCCAGGCTCTTCCCCATTAAGGACACCTCCTGGGTCCCTGCAGACCCGCTGTCCCTAGCACCAATGGCACCCGTCCTCTGTAGCAGCAGGTCCACTGGCTCTGACCAGTATCAAGTTTTCATTTTGCCCTGTCAGTCAGCAGCTTGTAGCCCTGGCTCAGGCAGCCTGGGACAGATGGCACCAGACAGCCCTCTATAGTGACTATTTGTGCTGTGAAGATACTGTCACCTAGACAGAAGAGCATCAGTTCCCAGCAGCGGCACAGATGAACTTGTGTTTGTGGAGGGAAGACAGTGAAGTGACCAGTCGTCCCTGCCGACAGGATGACGGACTCTGGGGTCACATCTTCCTCCGCCAAAGCACTGATCTACGCCAGCCCCGTATGGAGGCCCAGTGTGACACTCCGGTTCTTTGGGGAGCAGCACGCATGCACTTCCTGATCCTGCACATCTTCAAGACTCTGACATCACCCATAAACCTTCTCCTGCTCACGAAGTACTGGGAAGTCCAGAGAATTCCAAAAGTGATGCTCGGAGCAGGTAAGGGTTCAAAGAGCAGGCCTTGTACTCATGGCTGGGCAATTTCTGCGGAGCAGGACAGCAACTGAGGTGGCAGAGAGCAGGTCAAGAGCTCAACCTGCTGCTTCCCTACAGAGTGACTGAAGGGACCTCCCCACCCACACTGTGAGAGCATATATGCGTGCATAAATACACACAGCTGGGAGCAAATGGCACGATGACAGATACGCACCATGAGGCAGAGAGCTAGCGAATTCAAGAGTGACCCCGCCGTGCAATGGTGGGGTGTCATGGAGGTTCACACCACCTGAGCAGAGGTGCAGACCTCCCCACTCCCTGGTCCCCCACCACCAAGTAAAGCCTGTACCTCCTCCCTGCATCATCTTGTAGATTTTGCTCTCAATGTGGAGCTGAGGGTGTTTGGTTTTGACACATTCAAGCTTGATGGCAACTTCTTCTCCTGCAGCAATGTCCGTACCTGAGCAAAGAAAGAAATCACAAACATTAATCACCAGGCCTCGGCCACTTAATTCAACATTTCAACACGCTGAGGAACAATGAACACCAGCAAACCTCCCCAGGAAGGAGCCAACAGTCATAGAGGTATCTGTTCTCCTATGAAATGCCTTCCAGGTCTGATGGACAATCAGCCGGATTTCCCTTTTTCAAACAGGAAGTCTTCAGAAAGTCTTTTCTTTGGCCACACTCCACAGTGCTCAGGGGACCAAATGGGATGCAGGGATCGAATCGGGTCAGCGGAGTGCAAGGCAAGTGCCCTACCCACTGCACCATCTCTCCAGCATCCAAAAACAGGAAGTCTTTGATGTGTAGAAATGTCTATTTGGGTCCATCACCCACATCCACATGTCCTTACTCTGGGCCCATCACTCAAGGCAGGACACTGCAAGGCCTCTTTGTAGGCCTCAGTCTATGGTCTGAACCTACCCGTCTGTCTCATCTACAGAGGGAGGGTTCCACAGGCCTCTGCTCCTGGACCCTCAGTATCCCCATGCAGCCTGAAGGCCAAGGTGGGTGCTTCTGGGGCCTTCTCTAATAGACCTGAACTTCACTCGCCATTAGCCATTAGCAGTCTGTTCCTGCACGCACAGTGGACAGTCAGGCTTCTCCCTGGGCTGGGTGCCCATGGCACTGCGAGGTATCGGTCCATCAGGGCACCCACAGGGCACTGCAAACTCTCCCTCCTAGGGACAAAACATCACTGTACTGCTCTCGCTGCTGTTTTCAAAACGCTATACATTTATGTTCTATGACCTGTCCCACTCCGTGACTTGTTGGTTTTGGGCTAAAACAAGCAATGCATCTACTACCTCCTGTTTACTAACCTATGAAGGTTTCTTGGTTTTCTTTCCTTCTTTTTTTGGTTTCTGGACCACACCCAGCGATGCTCAAGGCTTACTCCTGAATCTCCTCAGGGTAAGATTCGAGGGACCCTATGCAGTATCTCGGATCAAACGCAGGTCAGTTGCAAGCAAGCAAAGTGCCTATCCCACTGTACTATCTCTCTAGTCTCCAATCTCTGAACTTAAAGGTAAAATAAGAGCTGTAGCAATGGGGCACAGGATCTGCCTTTCTGCACTAAGGAACTGTCGGCCTAACAACCCCCATGTTGCCAGGATTCACATAAATACTCCAGTCTGCCCCAATGCTGTGTACTTTACTGGGGGCTGAGGAGACACAAGACCCCCAGTGAGATCCCTTCCAGTGGTGCAGTGCATGGAGAGGAACCCAGCTCCAGCAGCAGACAAGCCACACAGGGGATGGAGCAGTGGGCAAAGCACCTGGCCGGTCCCTGTTCCATTAAGGAGCCACAGAGCTAAAGCCCCCAGATTTCCAACGAGGTCAGTGAGTACAAGAACCACCAACAAGCTGCCTGCTGATATTCACATGCTCAGTGACCACTCAAGAACAAGAGAGGCAAGCCCTTTCAGTCCCCAGGGCATGTGGCCACTTCAAGTGGCCTGGCTCAGGGCTGGTGGCCAGGACCGAGGCTGCACAGAAACGCCCACCACCTGATCACTGCTGTGGCCCTAGAGCCCTCAGAGAAGCTCTCCTCGCCAGTGTGTGTGGAAAAGAGACAGGACAATGGGAAGATGTTCTTCTCATCCTGCCTGTGTGCAGACAGAGCAACCTGTCCTATTTCCAAGTCTCAACAAGAAGTGACTGCAGGCAAACGCACGGGGCAATGGTAACCGAGCTTGAGTTCCTGCTAGGACCTGGAACTCTGACCCAAACTCGAAGCCAGCCCAGGAACATGACTCACACTCTCAGTGACATCAGCAACAGCCCGACCGTCACCCGGGCCAGGCAGTGGGCCTCCACGGCAGCAGTCAGTGGCTCCCACCCAACCATGTCTCATCCCGCTCTTCTGTGACCAGTGACGCTAATGCCTGACAGACATCCCTACAAATACAGGTAGTCGGGAGAAATGACAAGAGACAAGGGCCGGAGCGACAGGACAGGGGAAAGGTGCTGACCTTGCACATCAAACCCGGCTTTGATCCCAGGCACCCTATGTGGTTCAAGAACCACCAGGAGTAATTCCTGAGTGCAGCGCCAGGAAAATCTCTGCGCATCCCGGGGTGTGGTCCAAAAAACAGACGAAGGAACAAACAACCCAACAGGCAATGCTCAGCACGTGAATTCCAGCCTTCTATCAGGGGCCCCGCGGAATGGAACCAGAGGGGCAGAGACATGCACATGCCTGACTTCCCGGCAGCACACGTTCCCGAGCACTGCCAGGATCGACTCCTGAGCACCAAGTTGGGAAGAGCCCCCAGCACCCATGGGGGTACGCCACCACTACCAAGAAAACCATGAACTAGCTCTCTGCAGGCCAGAAGGTCCCCGTAAGCCTGAGGGCACAAAGAGCAGAGCTGGACATGGTGAGCTTCCATGAGACAAGAGGACAGGGTGCCACTCTGGCAGGAGTTTGTCCATCTCCAGGCATCCGGAGAGCAACACCAAGCAGCGGAGCTTCGAGTTCTTCTGTACACCAAGCATACATGACACCAAGTATCAGAGATCACTGAACAAAGCCCAAGTCAAACTTCTTTACAACCCTGCACCACTGCCCACGGCAGACATGTGCCACCAAGTCTAGTCCTCAAAGTGCCTCCAGTCCACAGCGGCCACACACAAGCCAGGAAGGAGCCAGTGACAAGCTCTGCCAGCAAGGACCATGGCCGTGACATGCAACTTTCTCTCACCCACGGGGCCCCGTGCACCTCAAAAACACAGGTATCCCGTAGTCGACGCGAACGTGGAGACCCAGCCCACCCCAGCAACTCAGGAATCCTTCCAGATCTAACAGACGCCACTGAGCTCTGGGTCCCCACTCACAAGCCAAAGCACAAGCAGCATGCTTTGACACTTCGCATCTCCCGCATCTCCCAAACAACTTTAGCTCCCAGGCAGCTCCCAGGCAGCCCCCGCGGGCTCCAAGTTGAGTTTCCCTTACAAAGACACGAGCCCATCTTCCAAGCCACGTTAGCGCCCGAAAAGTCACATCCCCTGAGCTGGGCGTGCAGAGAGACAGATGGTGAGTCAGCTCAACCCTGACTTATCAACAAAGAGAAAGGGAAGACCTGGAGCAGGAGGGCGAAGGTCACTCTCCGGGCGAGTGTGAGAAGACAGCGAGGCAGGACCGTGACTCCTCATCACATAGAAACGCGCAGGCCACAACCCGGAAGGAGGCCGGGGCTGCAGGAAGTGGCCCACCGGCGCCGCTCCCAGGGCCCAGCCTGTGCCAGGGAAGAGGCGGCGGGGGGGTGGGAGGGAATGCAAGCACCACACACCGGAGTGTCGCTCGGAAGGGGCGGAGGGCCCGGCGCCCGCGGTCGGCGCCCGCCCGGAGCGCGGCTGGCGGTGGCACGCACGGACACCTGTGGCCGCACGGCCCCGAGCCAGCACGCCAGGCGGGCCGCGGCCACACCCGGACTCGGGGCCCCCGCGCCCCCCCCAGCCTCGGGCCCAGCCCCCGCGCGGCCCCGGCTGCTCCCCCAGGGCCGGCGAGCGGGGCCCGAGTCCAGCAGGTCCCAGAGGCGCCGCAGGACCCCCGGACCTGCCTCTGACAGCGGCGCCCGCAAAGCCCGGGCTGTCCTTGGGGCCTGACGCCGGTGCGGGCCCCTCCGGGCCTTGTCAACGATCGCGGCCCTCCGCCCCGCGCAGGGTCACTACCGGGGGTCCCGGCGGGCAGCGGCGGGGCCGGGGGGCGGCGGGGCGCGGCAGGCGGCCGGGACACGGGCGGGGGACCGGCACGGGCCGACCCCCGACAAGATGGAGCCCGCGGCCAGGGGGGCGGCCGGCGGTGGGGCCGGGCGGGGGGCGGGCGCTTGGCCGGACCCCCCGGGGCGGCCGCTCGAGCCCAGCGGCCAGCGCCCTGGAACAATGAGGCGGCCCGCGGCGGCCGCGGAGCCCCCGGCGCCGCGACCCCCGGCCCCGCGTCCCTCGGCCGGCGGCCGCCCGCGCCCCCGCCTTTGTCTGCGGCAGGTGCGGGCCGGGGGTCCCGCTCCGTCGCGGCGCCGTTTGGGGGGCGGCCCCGAGCGCGGGGGACGCCTCACCGAGATAGATGTCTCCGAAGGAGCCGCTGCCGATCTTGCGGCCCAGCCGGTACCTGTTCCCGACTCGGAGCTCCATGGCGGCGGCGCGGCCCGGCTCGCTCCGACCCTCCCGGCCGCTTCCTGGGTCTGAGCTCCGGGAGGCGGCGCCGCTGCTGCCGCTACTGCGGGTCGGGCTGCCGGCTCCGCCCCCCTCACGGCCCCGCTTTCACCATCGCTTTCCGGCCACCCCGCCGCTCCCAGCGCCTCAATACGGGGCGGATGGGACAGTCCGAGCGCCGCCGCCCTTGCTCCGGGCCCCGCCGGCCCCGCTCGCCCTCTCCCCGCCGCGGATGGACTCGGATCTTCCGGGCCTAAATCCCCCTTCAGCTGCCTGAAGGAGCCGCCGCCATGGCGCTGTGACGTCACTTCCCCTAGCAACCCGACGGGGCGGGGTTTCTCGGGGGCGGGGCGCCAAGGGGCGGGGCGGGGCGGGGCGGGGCCGAGCTGCGGAGTCTCGGGGCGGGGTCGCCCAGCCGGGACCCAGGCACTCGCCGCGCCCCGGTCCCGGAAGCGCCCCCCCCTCCCCCCCCCCCCCCCCCGTCTTCGTTCGCCCGGCTGAGGACCTGCGCGACTTACACCCGCCCAAGGAGTCCCCATTTGCAGGAGGACCCGAGTGCCCGGAGAGAGGGACAGGGCTGGCACGGAGACATGCCCGCGACTCCAGCACCGTTCAGCCGGAGCGGCACTTAGAGACGCTCGGGGCCTGACGTGGAGGACGTGGCCCCGGCTGCCCACCCCTCTCCTGTGCCACCCGCCTGCGGACAGCACCCCTGTCTTTATCTAATCCGTCTCGGTCCTGAGTGTTCTTCCTTGCAAAGAATGCTGAAGATAGGCAGGCCAGATTCAAGGGCCTGCTGGGCCAGGCCGAGACCCAGGGAGGGCCAGGAAGCAGCCGTGCATGGCTATCGCTGGACATCAAGCGGACTTACTGCTCTGCTCACTTGCAGAGGGGTCAGCCCAGTTTCTCAGCTTGGGATGGGGCTGGGTTCTGGTAAACTAGTAACAACCATGGTCTTGTTGGCAGAATTTACCAGCACACAGTGCCATCCCCTTTCCCAGACACCACAGGGCCAGTCGGGAGCAGAGGCCTGGCCCCCACTCTGTGATCACCCTCTCAGGTCCGTTCTCACAGGGCAGCACAGTGAGCTGGACCTCAGGTCTCCAGGGCTGTGCCAATTTTTTCTTGGAACCCTCCAGGATAGTCATCGCCAGGGAACAAAGTCCCAGCTTCCTTTTGCATCCTGGTTGAAAGCAGAGCCTGTTTGAGAGGCTGCCACTGAAGCTATGACCTGTCCTGTGTGCCTTGGTTTCCCATTTGGGAAACACACTCTGTCCTGCTTGGACAGGCCTGGGGAAACCCTGGGAGCAGCTGTCAAGGCCAAAAGCTGAGGGTCAGCGTGGAATCTACTGCCCTTGACCTTCCTCAAGCCTGACCCCGCTGGCGGTTCATGAACCAAGGCTCACAGGAGGTGTCCAATGGGGACCTCAGTGTGCCATCTCGTGACCTAGAGCTCACCCCTGCCATAGGCACTCCCCAGTGTAGCTGCGGAAGGGCAAGGTGGTAGAATGGGAGTCCGGCCTCTGGGGGACATGCCCAGGGTGCTAAGAACATTCCTGACTTGGCTACTGTGACCAGTGAGAGGTTCCTGGTGCAGACTGACATGTAGTCTTCCTCTGGGTCCTGCGGGATCACTATGTTTGGTGTTTTGGTTTCTTTGGGGGATTACCTATTGCTGTGCTCTGGGGCTATTCCTGGCTCTGCCTAGGAGGGATCTCTGGCAATACCCTGGGGACCACATGTGGTGCTGGTGAGTGGCCCAGAGTCAGTGGCATGGCCTTGTGCAGTGGAACACCCTAGCCCCTTGCCCTTCTGCCCCTGTGTCCAGTACAGCAGTGCTCAGGGACGGGAGCCCGCAGCGCTGTAGCCCTTACCTCCTCTCTTGTTGGAAGGGCTCAGGGCAGGGCTGAGTCAGCTGCTCCCGGACTGCCTGATGGTTGCAGCCTCTGGGAAAGAAGCATGAGGATAGCAGCACCTTGTGCCAGCCAAAGTTGTCATCAATGTCACAGTGAAGGGGAGGGGCAGGAAGGGGGAACAGTGCCCCAGCAGGAGCTTCAGGGGACGGAGGGGACCCAGTGTTGCACCAGTGTCAGTCGAGTAGTGGGAAGTGGTGCCCAACCAGTTACGCGGCTGGGAGACAGTGCCAAGGAATGGAGCACGCACCGTGCACAAGACCCTGAGATCCGTCCCAGCACCACGTGCTCCACCACTGTCTTCCGAGTCTGCCAGGAATGATCCCTGAGCACAGAGCCAGGAGTGATCCCTGAGCACTGCTGAATGTGCTTCCCTGGCCGAGTGAGCAGGCCTGGTCTGGATCACCCCACACTGTCACAGAACATTGCCAGGAAGGGTCTTGCTTCCCCCAGCACAGCATGTCTGGGGTGGGGGGATGCAGCAACAGAAACATCATGATGTAAAAAAATGCACAAATAGGGTTGTTTGGAAACACACAGAGAGAGCTGGGAAGTTTGCAAGGGGCCAATGGAATTCTCACAAAAGATACTTGGAGCTGGACCTAAAAGCTCCTGCCTAACTGCCCTCTGGGGGTCCTGGACACTGCCTGTCCCCTCCATGGAAGCTGAACCATGTGTGTGTGCATGCATGTGTGCGTTTTTGTGTGCACACATATGTGTATTGTGTGTGTGCATGTATGTCCAAGTGCATGCATGCATGCATGTCCAAGTGTGCATGCATGTTATGAGCGTGTTGTGTGCATGCATAATGTGCATGTGTGTGTATGTGTGTGTACACATGTATGGAAGGGCAGTGCCAGCACCACACCAGGACTCATTTGTGAGGCAGGTGTTCTCCCACTGAATGACAGCCCTGGCCTCTCTGACACCTGGAGGCTGTGTGGTGGGCAGGTCTGACTGGCAAGGCCTGCTCACCCCCTTGAGGGAAGAGCATTCAGCTGTGCGGATGCAGGCACCACTGCCACTGAGCTTCACAGTCAAACATTTCTATGGGGGCCACGCCACCCATTCTTTTGGGGGCACACCCACAGTGCTTGGGGATTACTACTGGCTCTGTGTTTAGGAATCACTCCTGGCGGACTCGGGGACCATCTGGGGTGCCGGGGATCCAACCTGGGTGGGCCATGTGCAAAGCCACCGCCCTCCCTGCGGTCCTATGGCTCCACCCATTCTGCGCGTTCTGAGCTCAGGGCGCTGCGGGCAGAGGGGACAGGAGGTGACTCCAGGCTGAGCCTGTGCCCCACCGTCGGTGCCCTTCTTCCCAAGAGCCACGCGGAGGCTGCCTGGGGCTGGGGGACGCAGCCGCGCCCTTTCTGGACGTTCCCGCCTGAGCCTGCGCAGGCCGCTGCGGGGCCGGCCAGCGCGGAGGTTCCCGAAGGCACTGGACCGCGTTCTCTCCGGACGCCGGGCGGGCGCCGGTCCCGGCCGCAGGGCCCAGGGCGGTGACCACCCGGAGGGCACGCCCCCCGCCGCCGCCCGGGGCTCTGATTGGCGCGTCCCGGCACGTGTCCGCGCGCCCGGGCGCTGAGACCGTAGCTTGTTGACCTGGGGCTGGCCTGTCCGCCGGCGCTTCCCGTGACAGCCCGCGTCCCGGGACAGGCCACGCCCCCTGGCCGGATAGCCCATGGTGGTCTTTTCTCTAGGCCAGACGCCCTGGCCGTCCTGCAGTGCAAGCAGCGTTGCTGGGGGAAGGTCACCAACTCCCAACCGAAAGTCCCCCATCTGCCAGCCCCCCTGGATCCACAGGATTCCCCCCTAGGCCCGCGTGCTTAGCCTGCAGCTGATCTTGTTTGCTTTCAGCCTCCGGCAGCCCCACGCAGTGCTGGGACCTACCCTGCCCGCCAGCCGGAGCAGCCCGGCAGGAAGGGTCTGGCACCCCACCTGGCACCCCACCTGGGCCCCTGAGCACCACCAGGAGTGATCCTGAGCACTCCTGAGGAGAGAAACCGAGGTGCGATGGGAGTCTTCAGGCACGTCTGGCCTTGACCGTGGAGCTGGGGGTCTCCCTAGCAGTACCCACCCCTGTGTGGGGGGACCCAAGCTTCTCTGCACTCGGTCCTGCTGGGGATGCCCCCCCCCCCCCCCCCCGCTGCCCATGGACGCAATTGTCCCCCTGCATCACTCATGCCAGTTACAGGACAGAGCTAGAAACACTAGGAAGGACCATGTCACCAGGACTGAGCTCAGCCCAGGAACCATCCGGACCTCGGGGCCCCGCCCTGCCAAGACCAGTCTCAGAGCCCAGGCCAGGGCCCTGGGGCACCCACCCAGCAGAGCCGAGTCCAGGTGAGTGCAGGGCCGGGAGATGATGTTCAGGGCGCTGCCCAGGAGGGTCCAACAATTCCTGGAGCCCCTCTTTGGCCAGGACTGACCTTTCCACCCTTCACCCACTGTAATCCTGTGGGTGCGTCCCACCCACCCCCTGCGAACCCTCTGTGATCTGCTTCCCGGCAGCACCCAGGCCCACTGCCTGTTCACTCCAGCTGCTCAGGCCAGGACCAACAGCAGGTGAGGGGGCTGGGGTGAGAGCCTATGTGTGTGTGTCTCAAATGCAGCTATGTGGGGACAGGTGTGTGTGTTGGGTACAGGTGGGGGTGCAGATGTGTGTGTTGGGGGTAGATGTGTGTGCGGGGGGACAGGTGCGTGGGGGCAGGTATGTAGGGGGCAGGTGTGTGTGCATGTGTGCAGGTGTCTGTGGGGTGCAGGTGTGGGGGGTACGTGTGTGTGCAGGTGTGTATGTGTGCACGTGTGTGTGCACAGGTGTGGGGGGTAAGTGTGTTGTGTTGCTTGCAGGTGCGTGGGGGTGCTGTGTGTGCGCAGGTGTGGGGAGGTGGGTGTGTATGTGTGTGGGGAAGTGCGTGTGTATGTGTGTGTGCAGGTATGCGGGTGTGTGTGCGTAGGTGTGGGGAGTGCGTGTGAGAGTTGGGTGCAGGTATGGGGGGTTGCAGATGTGTGTTGGTTGCAGGTGGGAGGTTCAGGTGTGTGTTGGGTGTAGGTGGGGGGTGCATGTGTAAGTGTGCAGGTGTGTGGGTGTATGCAGGTGTGTGTGCACGCAGGTGGGGGGGTTGCATGTGTGTTGCTTGCAGGTGTATGTGGATGCATGTGTGTGTGTGCGCAGGTATGGGGGGGGTGCATGCTGAGTGCCCAGGTGTGTCGGGGGTGCGTGTGTATGTGTGTGCGCAGGTGTGGAGGGGTGCATGTGTCTTGGGTGCAGATGTAGGGGATGCGAGTGTGTGTGTGTGCAGGTGTGTGGGTGTGCAGCTGTGCAGGGTGCAGGTGTGCTGGGTGCAGGTGTGTGTGTTGATTACAGGTATGTATATCTTGGGTTCCCCGGTCCCCATGTCCTAGTGTCCCCATGTCCCTCATGTCCTCCCCTAGTGCAGTCCAGGGCTCACTGTCTGCCACTCCCAGGGCTGCATCCTGGGGTCTGGCCCAGCTTTGCTGGCAGAGCCAGTATCCTTCACCCTGTGGGTGTGCCCCCCTCCACGGGGCTGCCCACTGCCTGTGCAGGTCTCCAGAGGCCTAGAGGAGTGACGCCCACACATCTCCCACTTGCCAGGTGGTGGGGGACGGGCGCCCCCTGCAGGCCTGGGGTGCAGATTGCAGCTATGCGAGAGGAACCCCACAGTGCCTCCTGCCTGTTGGTCAGCCCAATCAGGGAGCTGGGGAGGGGCAGGAGAGACCCTGGGGGCTCTGGAAAGGCGGGCCCAGGTCGTCCGGGTGCTGCTGGCCCGCATGGGCTATCAGGAGCCCCTCTGTGCTGACAGTGCTTGCAGTGGGTGATGGAGGGAGGGTTCCCAGCCTCCCCTGATCTTTCACCAGCCCCCGCCTCGCATGTGACCAGCCAGAACTGGAGGATGCTGGGTGGCCAGGGCTGGCAGGGTGCCCTGGGCCTGCTGCCCTCACCTGTCATCTGGAGAACAGACTGTTGAGCTCCTCCAGGCTTTGCCCCGACTCTGGCCGGCTCTCGGCCCTCCCTTACGTCCCTCTTGGGGTCATGCCCCAAGGAGGACTGTCCTTCAGCAGGACAAGGCCAGCTAGCCTTGCTGTGCTGGCCTGAACAGTGGAGGTGCCAGACCCCAGGGTCCCCCAAGGCTGCCCACCCCCGAGGGTGGCTTGCAGGAGGGGTTAGGTGGCACCCGAAGCCAGCCCGGTGCTGGGTTTGGGGACGGGGTGGGCCTGCCTATGGATATTCACAGGGGGCAGCACCAGCAACGGGCAGACCCAGATGGGACGCCACAATGTCCACTGAGGCCTGCGTGGGCCTCAGCCCTGAGGCACTGCTGCTGGGCAGCTCCTTGGGCAGTGCCAGGGCACAGGCGAGTGTGACCCCAACACAGGCCCTGCTCACTGTCCCACATGCGTGGGCGAGGAAGAGGACAGCTGCTAGGGTGACCAGAGGGCCCAGCCAGTAGAACAGTCACAGCACTGCCTACTCTGCAAGTGGGCTGGACATGGGCAGCTGAGATTCGCCACCTGGGTCCCAGTTCCACCGCGCTGACCTCTATCTGCTGCAGCCACTCGGGTCCAGTGGGGCCGCCCGCGTTCTCATGTTTCCTGGGCCTCTGGTCAGGAGCCCATCCCCTGGGGAGCTGAGAGGCAGACAGCCCCCTCCATGTCCGTCTGGCAGCTGGCCAGAGAGGCCGTGACCCTGCTCCAGGATTGGCCCCACGGGACTGGGGGCACCTCCACACTCAACCCTCCACAAGACAGGAGCTTTGGGGTCCCCTGTTCAGGAACAACACAGGGACTGTGCGGGTGTGCCCCTGTGACAGGGCCGGGGGAGTCAGCTGATGTCCATCTTCCCAGTGATGCCAGAGGCATCTGGGGCCCTCCTGGGTGCTAAGGGATGCTGCAGAGCTGGGGGCTCTCTGAGGGGGCTTCCGGGCAGTGGGACAGTCTCACTTGGGGGTGACGCGGGGGTTTCCAGAGAGTGGCCTGAGTGGGAGTGAGGAGCAGAGTGAGGTGGTGCGGCCCCACCTCAGGGTCTGGGTGACGTGCATGGGTGTGGGAACTCTGCGGGCAGCCGGCCTAGAGCCCTGTTCTACAAGCACTGCTACTGGCGCCACCACAGACAGGCTGTGGGCTGACATTTCAGGGTGCACGATGGGGTTCTGCACTGACCCCAGACAGCACTGAACGAAGGCTGCTGACCTCAGCCCAGCCAGCAAACCCAGCCCTGCGCCCAGCCCTGCACCTAGCCAGCAGCCCCAGCCCTGCACCCGGCCCTGCGCCTGGCCCTGCGCCCAGCCCTGTGCCTCGAACCTGCACCCAAGCCCTGCACCCAGCCCTGCGCCCCAGTCCTAAACCTAGCCCTGCACCCCCAGACCTGCACCAAGCCCTGCGCCCAGCCCTGCGCCCAGTCCTGCACCCAGCCTTGCACCCAGCCCTGCACCCCCAATCCTGCGCCGAGCCTTGTGCCCCAGTTCTGCGCCCCAGCTCTGCACCCAGTCCTGCGCCCAGCCCTACACCCAGCCAGTAGCCCCAGCCCTGCACCCGGCCCTGCGCCCAGCCCTGCGCCTCAGACCTGCACCCAAGCTCTGCACCCAAGCCCTGCACCCAGACCTGTGCTCCAGCCCTAAACCCAGCCCTGCACCGAGCCCTGCGCCCAGCCATGCGCCCAGCCCTGCACTCAGCTCTACACTGAGCCCTGCATCCAGCCCTGTGCCCAGCCCTGCGCCCCAGCCCTGCACCCAGCCCTGAGTCTCAGCCCTGCGCCCCAAGCTGTGCGGCTGCACCTGCACCCCAGCCAGCAGCCCTCCCCTCAGCCCTGGGCTCTGTGTGCATGGGGGCTCACTTGGTCTCAGTGACTTGTTACACCCCCACTGCTGCCTGGGGTCCATTTCTGGAATGAGGACTCCTTCCACCCCCACCCCTGCACCAGACCCTCACGTCCCTGCTGCCCTCACAAGCTTGCTCTGGGGTGCTCCCTTTGGGGAGCCCTAGGATCTAAGTCCCTCGGCATTGGAGTTGCAGCTGGGGCAGATCTGGAAGACCCTCACAGGGGGGTGAGAGGGACTGCTCGATCCACCTCAACACCGGCACCCCTCTTTTCCCTCTCTCCTCCCCTCCCGACCTCCCATCTGCCAGCCCCCAAGACCCAGGAGAAAGTAGACATGGAGTGATGGAAGGACAGCCCATCCCCCTGTCACAAGAATTAGGTGCCTGTGACCAGCGGGTCCCCTGTATGGGCCAGCTCTGGGCCTTCTGGCTGTGGACAGGCATGGGGGGTGGGGTGCACAGGCAACCCTGTCAGCAGGAGGGGCCCAGGACAGCACATGGGTCTTGGGGACGATGATGCCCCCATGCCAGCCCCTCTTTCTTGCTTGATGAGACTCCAAAAGTCGCTTTCCATGATGTGGCTGTGTGGTCTGAACTGGTGTCCTCCACGCACTGCTGAGACCAGTACCTGGTTCCCGAGCCCCGAGCCCCCACCACTCCCTTCCTTCCTATGGCAGAACATCTGGACAGATTCCCGCCCAGCTCTGCTGCCCACACTGGTACCCACCGTCTCATTCTAACTAACTAACCCCACAGCGACCTTTCCTCCGCCTCTGGGTGTCGGGTCAGTGGAAGCGCCTCTCCTCGGAGGGCTGCAGGGTGTGGGCACGTGGACGGGCTCAACACCTGTTCCCTCACGCCAGGGTGACAAGAGCCATTTCCTAATGCACAGCCTCTGGGGCCTCCTGTGCCCCATGTCCCCCAAATTCCCGTGTTCCCCACATCCCTGTGTCCCCCATGTCCAGTGTCCCCATATCCCCGTGTCCCCCATACCTATATTTTTGTGTCCCCCATTTTCCATGTCCCTATGTCCCGTGTGTCCTTGGAGGGGTCTCATAGGCCCAGCACATGCCCTGACTCCTGGGCCCCCAGTCCCCCGGGATGTGCTCCCCTAAACGCTACAGTCCCGTGTGGCCAGTGGTGCAGGGAATGGACCACGAGCACCAGTGGGCAGGGCCTGATGGGTCCCAAGCGCATGTCAGCCCCCAAGCCCTGACTCCCCAGGACCTAAACGGGCAAAGGGTCTGGGGCCACTGGCTGGAGTGGACGTGGGATAGTTATTCAGATTCCTCCTGGGAGGAGCCCTGGTGCTCCTCCACCTGCCCTGACCTCAGCTGCATGTGTGCCACGGACCTGGTGACCGTCTGTCACTGTGCTGTTGGAGAAGGAACCCTAGAGCTGAGGAGGCTGCTTTATTTCCAAGGAGATGGGGGGAGGTGGGAAGGTCTACGGGACTGAGGCACTTTCCTCTGTGGCTCCAGGGCCCTGGACTGGCAAGGGAGGGCCTGGAGGGTTTCCTGGAGGAGGCTGCTCACTGGAGCCTGACTCCTCCTCAGGGCAGGGCTGGGGCCCCAAGGGCTCACTGGTTGGGGCTAGACAGTGTGTTGCAGCGGCGGCTGTAGGACATGTCCTCATAGATGTTCCTCAGGGAAGGCTTGGTCCCACAGACATACTTGATCTGAAAGAGGAAGCGACTGCCAGTGGGGCCCTTTCTAATTGCCTGCCTTTGGTGCCGAGTCGAGGTGGCATCCCCGCCCCCTCAGGCTGCTCACCGGGCCAGCAGCAGGAGTGGATTTGACCTCAGATTCCAGTCTGAGGGGTGGCTGCTGACCACTCCTGCTCAGCCCACTGCCTCAGATTTGACACCATGACCTCATGTTCTCACCTGCACACTCAGAGCACCTTTGTGCTCACATGTACACCGCACACATGCTCACATGTGCACACACATGCACGCACCCACACATGTGCTCATGTATCTCACACACACACTTGCACCCACAGGCTCACATTACATAGGCACTTAAAAATGAACATACACACACCTACATGAATGCACCCACGCTCACACCTGCACCCACACAAACACACAAGCCCATGCATGCACACACATGTGCGCACACATGCACACATACTCACATGTATGTACTTACACATGCGCATACACACACTTACGCACATTTACACATGCACACATGTGCACACACACATGCACCCACACTCACACGCATGCGCCCACACAAGTGTACACAGGCTCACACATGCAGACACACTCATGCATGTACTTACACACGAGTGTGCACAGGTTCACACAGGTACCCACACATGTGTGTTCACAGCAGTCAGACTGGACCAACACCGGCTCCCGCACTCACCTCCCCCACCCCTGGCACATAGCTCCAGGCTCTGCAGTGGCTGTGATTCTAGGGTCCCCACCTCAGGTCTCACCATGCAAACCCCAAAGGTCCCAGGACCAGGGAGGAGTCCCTCACCTCAGCTCCTGGCTTCTCCCGCCGCCTCCCCTTCCAGTCCCCTCTCTCTTAGAAGGAGGTGCCTGGCTACAGGGACATGGGAGACAAGTGGGGCTCACACTGACCTGTGACCTTTTCAGCACACACATGGCCCCCAGCCCCAGACCGAGAAGAAAGAAGCCCACGGCCAGTGCCACAGGAAGGAGGTGGTTTGCCAGCCAAGTGTCCTGGCGCATGCTCACTTCTGCAAGGATGGAAGGGCAGGGGGAGTCCATGAGAGCCTGGGGCTGAGGGATTGGGCCCACAGGGATGCTGGTGTGGGGGTAATCGGGGTGGCTTCATGGTGGAGGCATTCAACTCAAGGGGCTGGAGTGATAGCACAGCGGGTAGGGCATTTACCTTGCATGTGGCCGACCTGGGTTCGATTCTCAGCATCCCACATGGTCCCCTGAGCACCTCCAAGAGTAGTTCCTGAGTGCAGAGTCAGAAGTAAGCCCTGAGCATAGGTGGGTGTGACTCAAAAAGAAAAAAAAGAGCAACTCAAGCAACTCTGAGGGAAGGGTCCTAGGTGGGCAGGAGAGTGTGCAGGGTGAGCCAGTCTGTACCTGTCACCATGAGCAGGGTCCCGAAGCCGTGAAACTCCTTGTTCTCGGTGACAGCCACGCAGGTGTAGAGGCCTCTATCAGCCTGCTGCAGACGATGCAGTGTGATGGTCAGGTTTTTCATGGATCCCGTGAAGGAGACGCGGCCCGAGAACTGCGTGCCCACGGTGGGCTCCTGCCCGTCCTGGTAGTAGACGGCGTTGCTCTCGACAGCCCACCTCTGCTTGAGGTGGAGACCCAGCAGGGTAGGGCAGCTGCAGGAGATGCTGACCGAGCCCCCTGCCTGGACATAGGACAAGTGGGGCCACTGCCACATGCCTGCGGGAGAACAGAGCTCGGGGTGTCCCAGGGCCTCCAGCAGGACCCCACGGTCACCACGTGCACCAGACAGCAGCTTCTCGGCAGAGCAGACCACGGCACCTTGCCGGAGCCCACATCATGCCTGCAGTTCCCCCAATGTTGCAAAGCCGCAGAACGACTCAAGTGCCTGTTTTGTTTGGTTGGTTTTGTGGGGGTTGGGGTGAGGCCACACCCAGCTCAGGGCTTGTTCCTTTCTTGGTGCTCAGGGAATCGTATTTAGTGCCAGAGATAAAGCCAGGTCAGCTGAATGCAAGGCAGTTGCCCTCCCTGCTGTCCTATCTCTCGGACCCCAATACCTGTTTATAAAAAATTGTCATTTCACATGATTGCCACTCAATGCCTCTTTTGCAGACCACAACACCCAAAAGGAGAGAGAAAAGGGAATGCCCTGCCACAGAGGCAGGGTGGGATGGGAGGGATGGGGGTGGGAGGGATACTGGGATCCATGGTGGTGGAAAATGGGCACTGGTGGAGGGATGGGTATTTGATCATTGTATAATCGAAACCCAAGCACAAAAATTTGTAAGTCTACAACTGTACCTCATGGCGTTTCACTAATAAAAATATAAAAATAAAAAAAATTATCATTTCCTTGAAGGTGACATGGGTCAGGGTGGGGCTGTGGGCACTTTGTGTGTGGGAGGACAGGAGACTGCACTGTGTGTTGGCACTCCTATAAACACATTGCTTTATAATACAAATTTTAAGAATAGGGGACTGGTTAGCATAGTGGGTAGGTCACTTGCCTTGCATGCGGCTGACCCAGGTTCAATCTCTGGCATCCCATGTGGTCCCCTGAGCTACCACCAGAAGTGATCTCTGAGCTCGGAGCCAAGAGTAACCCCTGAGCACTGCCAGGTGTGGCCCCCAAACAAAATAAACAAACCAAAAAGAGGAAATGTGGGTCAGAGAGATAGTACAGCAGGATGGGCATTTTCCCAGCGTGCAGCTGACCCAGGTTTGACCCTTGGAATCCCATAGGGTCCCTCCGCACTGCCAGGAGCAATTCCAGGAGCACAGGAGCAGAGGGTCCCAGGCCCTTCCGGCTGCCACCATGCCATAGCACAGAGGGGATGTGGCTGCTGCTTTGGTTCTCAGCTGCACTCGCACTGCACAGCTACACCCACAGAGCCAGGAGTGACCCCTCAGCATCCCGAGTGTAGTCTCAAAAAGCAGAAATGGGCTGGAGCGATAACACAGCGGTGAGGGCGTTTGCCTTGCATGCGGCAGACCCAGGTTCGAGTCCCAGCATCCCATATGGTCCCCCAAACACCGCCAGGAGTAATTTCTGAGAGCAGAGCCAGGAGTAACCCCTGTGCATGGCTGGGTGTGATCCCAAAAGCAAAAAAAAAAAAAAAAAAGGCAGAAACAGAAAAGAAAATGCGTATTTCTTCTCAGGAGCCTCCCACATGGAGCCCAGGGAGCCAGGAGGGGCTGGGTCACATGAAGCCCGAGGACGGCCTGGGGCTCCTGCAACCCCAGGGCTGTGCCATTGGTTGGGACCCCTCAATGCTTGGAGGACCCTGTGGCACTGGTGGTCCAACCCAGAGTGGGCCCCAGAACAAGAGCGATGGAGAGCTGGGGAGATGGTAAGTAGGGCACGGGCCTTGCACGCAGCCGACCTGACTCCAGTCCCCACCACACGGGGTCCCCGAGCACCCCTGGTGTGACCCCCCAAGGAAATAACTGCAGACAACAGGACAAAGTTCTCATGATAACGGCTTTGAGAAGTATTGAAAGCCCCAAACTTCGTGGGAAGGAGACAGACAAGACCCTCCCGGGCCCTACCAACATCTTAGAGCTATGCTGGGCAGGATAGCATAGCTATCCCCTGTCCCCAGCCTGGTGAGGAGGGCAGGAGGTGAGGAGCGCTTACCTCCGGAGGCCAGGGCCACGGGCAACGGGCAGAGGAGCCCAAGGAGCAGGAGGAGCAGAGGGACCCCCCGGGCCATGCCGCAGGGAGAGGACTGCCCCTTTGGTCTGCCGGAGCACCCACACTCACAGCTGCACCCCAGCTCAGCGCTGAGCTGAACTGGGCCCCCACACACCCAGTGCTGGAGGGAGGAAGTTCTGTGGCCTGAGGCAGGCTCTCTGATGGGCTTCCTGGAGGCCGTGCTAAGCGCAGGGGCCGGGCAGGGCAGGCGGAAGGACTCAGGACCCCTGTCTGTGTGTCGGGGTGAGGCGTAGGACTCCTGTGGGCGGGCCGGTGAGGCTGCTGAGCGGTCAACTCTCATCTGGCCCGAGGCAGTTCTGGCCCTGCAGGTGCCAGGGCCCTGGGGCGTCCAGAGGTGGGCGTGAAATATGGCATTTCAGTTGTTTTATTCCAGTAGACAGTTCTGGGCTTCCCTTCCCGGCAGTCCTTGGGGGCTTGGGGGAGAACTGGGATGCACCCCCCAATGTGGTCCTGCTGGGCAAGTCCCTCCTGGCCCTCCTATGGGTGCTCTGGTGAGAGGCCAGGCGCTGGGTAGCCTGGGGGTGGAGACAACGTCGTCCAGCCTTGTCCAGTCTCGGCTGCCTCCTAATGGGCACAGGAAAGCTTGTCTGTGTGCCTCTCTGTGCTGTATCTATGTGCACACATCATTCTATGTTTCTGTGTTCACACGTGTCTGAGTGCATATGGTGTGCATGTGACACACGTGTCTGCATCTCTGAGCACGTGTGTGTGTGCATCTGTGTATGTGGCTGGCTGTGGACTGGGTGGGAGCTTCTGACCATTCAGGGCCCAGAGCACAGGTGAGGGGGAGTCTGCTCTGACCTGGGTGCCACAGAAGCCAGCCCCCAAATCTCCCAGCTGCCCCAGCAAGCCCAGAGTCCTCCTGAAGGCCCAGGAAGGGCCCCTCAGGCTGAAGGAGCCACCTATCACTCGGGCAGCAAGCAGGGGGCCGGTCAGGGCTGGAGTCCAGAGGTCAGCTGCATGTGGTCACTCTCCTCTTCCTTCATGAACTTGGCGGCCGAAAACTGGCAAGAGAAGCAGGCGTGATGAGCATGCAGTCTGCACACGAAAAGGCACACGGACACCCGGTGTGCACGCACACGGACACACGGTGTGCACACACATGCACACCCTCACGTGCACACACTCACACAGGCAAACGAAGCTCACTCATACATACACGCTTACATACTCAGAAAGCATACTCACACGCACATACACCCACAAGGAAGGACCGGGCAGTCCTGCCACACCCGCACCACCCTTCAGACGTCCTGGGGCTCCTGAAGGACCCCGCAGCCCACGGGCCTGCCTGCGAAGGCACCAGGCCAGAACTCTGCATGTCCCCGCTGCAGCATGGAGGGGCTTGAGGCTGGCCTGGGTCACACTGAGCAGGCCCCTACCTGCGTCCACTGGCCTCGCCTGCCCTTCATGACGCAGAACAGCACCAGGACACACAGGGCAGCAAAGGCAAAGCTCCAGAACACCCCGGACTGCAGCCTGTTCTCGGGCAGGGCACGGAGGGAGTCTGCAGCAGGGTGCGGTGTCTCCTCCGCACCCACATAGCCAGGCAGCCCACCACTCCCCACTGGGGGTGCAGACGGCATCCCTTTGAGCTCTACTGGAGTCAAGGGGGGGTCCTGGGACTCTGCAGAGAGAAGAGAGGTCTCGGGGCACTGCTGAGAGAGGCTTGGGCCAGTGGGGGCCAGTGTGGGATCTAGGACAAGTGCAGGCCCGGAGGGGGTGTCAGTACAGGGATGGGATGTCACAGAGCCTGGGGGCGCAGGGGGCAGGCACAGGAGAGAGTCAAGCTTGGGGTGAGGCAGACGGGCAGAGACTCTGGGGTGTCGGTGAGGAGCTGTGAAGGTAGACATGCGGGGTGCAGCCTCCAGGAGCGGGGCTCAGGGAGGAGGTGAGGGGCCCTTGGGCCTCGGGGTGGCAAGATTGTGGGGGAGAGGGGACCGAGCCATGGGGAAGCAGGTTTGTGGGGCTGGCTGCAGGAGCTGGGCGTGCTTACCCGTCACACACAGGATGGTTTTTCTCTGCTCCCACTGCTTCCCCTGCAGCGTCCAGGTATATGTTCCTGCCTGGTCCGAGTCTGCCTTAGCCACCAGCAGCTGGGCCACCCTATCCTGCACCAGCAGCTGCCACCCGTCCTTTGAGATACAGTCAGGGGCCTTCACATGAAACAGCTTCTTGGAGTGTCCCCCGGGGCTGGTCAGGAAGATGATGACTTCGGTGTAGGTGTTAGAGATGTTACAGGTCATCACAGCCTGCTGGCCCCGGGGCACCGTCACCGGGTCCTGCGTGCAGGTGGGGCTGTCCCAGTCTGGGGGCAAATGTGGGGCCACAGCTCTAAGCACACAACTGCGGGTCCTCGTGTGGGGGCTGTGCCCACCCCCACAGCGAGGGGACACTCACCTACCTTCCCCTCTTCCTGCTGTGTGCTCAGGGCTCCCCCCAGGAGCAGGAAGGCACAGAGCGTCCCGGGGACAGGCCACAGTACAGTCAGGGGGCGCATGGCGGGTGTGGGGTCTCGACGCGGCTCCCTGGGGAGGACATGGCAGCGGCAGGGAGATGAGGCCACCGGAGCGCCACCCACAGCCCACGGCCCCTGTGACACGGGAACACCAAAGCTGCTGCCTGTGTTCTCTGCTCAGGGCAGCAGACCTGCTGTGACTCCGCAGAGTGAGTTACCGGAGTTCCCGGGTGGGCAGGAACGGGTGGCACCAGTGCCTCAGCCTCAGGCCCCGGTGTCCTGATTAGTAGGACCATTACTTGGAGCTTGAACTCCCTAGCCAGGGGCCAGAGAGATGGACAGGAGTCTCGGACCTCAACCATGAGCCATGACGTGTGTGTGTGTGTGTGTGTGTGTGTGTGTGTGTGTGTGTGTGCGCATGCATGTGCGTGCACGCTTGGTGGGACAGGAGGTACCGTTTTGGCCCTCAGTCAGCTAGTGTGTCCAGCTGTCTGTTCCTAGAGCTTGAATCCCTGCTGTATACACATCAGGGGGCTCTAGGCAAGCCCGCAACCCCACCCACCCACCCACCCACCTAATCCCTCCGCCTCTGCCCTTGCAGCCTCTGTTCGCTGGGCCCTAGGGTGCTCAACTGTTTCCATTTCCCATTCCAGTGGGACATCTGGGAGCAGAGGAAATTCCTCCAGAGGGCTCAGAGGCTGGAGCCATAGCACAGTGGGGAGGGCGGTTGCCCTGCATGCGGCTATCCCATGTTCGATCCCCAGCACCCCATATAGGTCTCCTGAGCACCGTCAGGAATAATTCCTGAGAACAGAGCCAGGAGTAAGCCCTGAGCATCACTGGCTGTGACCCCAAACCAAACCAAACCAAAGCAGAGGACTCAGTGGGGGAGGCCCCAGGTGGCAGGAAAACTATGGACTTGTCTCATTGAGGAAGGAACAAAGTTTCTAGTTTCCAAACTGGCTCTGCTGTGTCTGCTGCCAACCTGCTGGACTCTGACTGGGTGTGTGAGGAGGATGGGGGAGACACAGGCCCAGGGCCCACATCTGGTCCTCTTCGCGGATGGAGTAGGAGGAGCAGATGGACAGACAACAGAGGGGAGGCAGCACCAGGGCCCTGAGGCTACAGAGAAATGGGAGCCCCCACAGCCTTCCTGGGGGAGACTGGGGCCCCACAGCCATCCTGAGGGTAGACTGTGGATCCTAAGGGGAGATAAGAGGTCTCACAGCTGTCCTGAGGAGGCACTGAGGGTCCCACAGCCATTGTGAGGAGCGCTGGGGGGTCTGCTCTCTGCCCTTGTATGCATGGCCTTGGTCATAACCTGCCATGCCCCCCAATGTGAGCAGGGTGCGGGGTGGGGCCATTTCCCAGGATAGATGGGGACCCAAGCACAGGGCTGAGGGAGGGGCTGTCCCTGGCATCTGGCCTTGGCTTTCCTGCAGGGCTCTGTGGCCCTTTCCCAGGTCCCTGGAGACCTGCCAGTTGTCTGGAGACAGAGACACTGGCATTAGCAACAGACCCTCATACGCATCACAGGCTTCTGAGAGCCAGGTGGGACGGAAGGTTCCAGAAAGACATGTTGCAGCTGCCACTCCCCAAAGGGTGTGGTCATGTTCCTGGCACCTTGGTAGGATTGCCCAGTCCTTCCGGTCAGCTCTGATAAACAGCTCCGTCCCCAGCCCTGCTTCTGCTGTGGGGCATAGGGGCTCAGCAGGCAGGCAGCTGTGCCCTGGCCAGCTCAGGTCAGGGAAGTGTGAGGCTGCCTCTGCCCTGAGGCTCCCCGAGGGCCCCTGGGCTGACCCCAGGCTGAGGTCTGTCTCATTTCCTGGGTCCTTTCTCTCCAGAAGCCTCCAGAAGTTTTCAGAATTCAAGTAAGAGACACAGGTCACATCCTCTGTCCTCAAGGGACCGCCACACTCGTGCTTCGGCATAGCCCCCAGAGCATTCAGTGACGCCAAGAGCAGGACCCTAGGCCAGGCCCTGAATCTCAGCTCTGGAGTAAGATTCAAGCTTAAGGGCTGGACAGGACCTTGGCCACGTTGGGGTGTGATTCCAGGAGTAGAGGCTGAGAGGGGCTGCAGCTGCAGCTGGACCCCCTTGGCCAGCCCCCAGGGCACAGTAGTCCCTAACATGACCCTGAAGCCTGGAGGCCTTCCCAGGGCCAGACCCCAGACCTGATGATGTCCTCTCCTGCTGTCCGGTCTGCCCACTAGGGCTGGGCTGGCCCAAGCTGTGATGGTTTAGCCATCCAGCCACCCCCCACCCCAACACCACCCAGGCCGCAGCTGCCCAGCCTGAGCTGCCCCGGCCACTGCCCCACTGTCCAGGGGAGCGTATCCATACCCTCCGGCAGCTAGGCCAGGCACACGGTTGGTCTCCCACCTGCTCACTCCCTTCCTCTCGTCAGCAGCTCTGACCCTCCTGCTCCCCGCCAGGGACCCGAAGGACCCTGGTCTCCCCCTGGTGCCTCGTGAGGTCTCATTGGTCACTTGGTCACAGCACCTGGGAGTCCCAGAGTCACACCTTAGGGTTTACCCCTCAGACGCTCCCAGCAGGGAGGGCACAGGTCACCCAAGGCACACGGGCCGGCCCCTATCCTCATGCCCCATGCAAGCCCCCACACCCCGCCTGCCCGGCTCTGACCTGTGGCCCTGAGCCTGGCCCAGGTCAGCAGGGCCACTACAGGGCTCAGCCAGACCATGCGTGGGAGGGTGCACAGGACGGGCCAAGCACCTTCCCGTTCGAGGAGCTGCCTCAGGGGCTGTGGGTCGAGCCCTGGACTTTGCACATTCACCCCTGACTCACTGGTGCCTGCGTGGCGGGCGGTGTTCCAGCAGCCTCCCAGTGGGAGAACAGGGAAGGTCAGCACTGAGCCACTGCAACACTCAGAGCAAGTCCCAGGCTCTGCTTCCAGCTGGGGCCACATCACTGCTCACTGATGGCCCCTGACATTTTTTCCAGGTGAAATCAAGAACAACTTGCAACTGGTCTGCTCTGACCAGGGCAGACCCCGGAGGCTGAGCTCTGCTCCCTGCGCTGTGCCGGCCACAGGTCTGCAGACAGCCCTCTTGCACCCGACTTCTGTCCCATTCTGGCCCCCCAGGGGGCCCTGCAGTGCATCAGGAGGCCCTGGGCCCTTCCTGAGACCCACAATGAGCCCAGAACACAGCACTGTTTGTGTCCGGGGCCCGTCCCCATAGCAAGGACTGACACGTCCAGCCTTGCACTGGGCAGGTGACCAAGTTGGGCTGGAAAACCAGGGTCCATCCCTTCAGAGCCCACCATGGCCCACCAAAGCTGTGATTTCTGCTTTCGCCTTAAGCCCACCTGTGACTGACCTGCAGGCAGCAGTCCATCCTGTGCCCAAGGAAGCAGCTCCAGCAGCACCCCCCCCAGCACTAGGAGCAGGGTAGGAGCTAGTTTGGGGGCTCAGGGGAGCACAGCGAGTTGTACACCCTCGCCCCCAGAGCTGTCCGCCTCTGTCTGGGGACAGCTGTCCTTTTCAACAGAGTGGATTTGGGAGGGATGCACAGAGGGTGAAGGAGGAGGCAATGCCCGCCTGGCCAGCCAGATGAGCTGAACCAGTTCTGGCGATCAGTGGGGTGACCGATGCCACAGCCAGCTGGCCCTCACATTCAGTACAGCAGGGCTGCAAGGCCTGCCCTGAGCACTCTGGGGTGCCCCCAGGCCCCACCAGAGCTGGCCCCACACAGTCACTGTTGGGCATGGTCGGACCCTAGGGGAGACCCTGCCATTTCCAGCCACAGGCACCAGCCACTGACGGGACAAGGAGCATCCATGGCACCTGGAGGGACAGAGGCCGTCTGGACCCTGCCGTCAGCTAAGGAGTTGCCTCCCTGATTCTGCAGCCACTCTCCGGGAGTCCAGGGGCCTGGATCAGGGCCTCCACTCCCCCATCAGGGCACCTGCACATTGGGCCTAGCAGGGAGTGACAGCCAAGCACGCCCAGGTGCCTAATAAGTAGACCTGTGGCTTGCAGCCAGACATGGGAATACCTACTTGGCACCGTGGCACCCAGGGGCCCCAGCAGACCCTCCTGCAGCCTTCGCTGTGTCCTAAGAATAGGAGGCACCTGGGATGCTGGCTCTGCTGCCACGGGCACAGACATGGCCCCACGACTGTGGTATCACCATGGTGGAGTTCGGCTCAGAGTAAACAGGAAAGATGGTGCCTTCCACGGGATTGCCTCAACCCTGCACTTCAGGGTGCTTGTAAGGGAATATGAGCTGTGTGCAGGCACGTGTGTGTGTACAGGCATGTGTGTGCAGGTGTGAGTATGTGTAGGCATGAGTGTGCATGGGCATGAGTGTGCATGTGTTAGTGTGTGTGAGTGTGAGCAGGTGTGAGTGCGTGGGTGTATAGGGGTATGAGTGTGTGAGTGCACGAGTGTGCATGTGTGTGTGTGCAGGCATGGGTCTGAAATGGTACATGTACATGTATGTGCATGTACAGGTGTGCATGGGTGTGGGTATTTGGGTGTGTGGGGGTGTGCACAGATGTGAGTGGATGCGAGTGTGAATGTGTGCGGGTGTGAGTGTGTGCAGGGGTGCCCAGATGTGGGTGTGTTCGGGTGTATGAGTGTGCACAGTGTGTGCGTAGTGCATACATATGTTCGTGAGTGTGCACAGGTCTGAGAACACGTGTGTGCATATTTGCACAGGTATGTTTGCTGTGTATGCGTGTGCAAGAGTTGGCTGTTCAGAGAAACCCTGAAGCTCTGGTGTCTGCCATCTAGAAGAGAGTGTGTGGTGCAGCCCAGACGCAGGTGTCCTCCCCTGTCTCTGTGGGAGCCCCCAGCAGGGTTCCGTGGGGCTCACTCACTGGCGCTTTGTATCCTGTAGAGACGATGATCAGGTAGGCTGAGGCGAGAGCCCACCCCTGTTGCTTGCTGCTGACCTGAAACACCCAGCCCTGGAGGCCTAGCACACGACCTGTCACGACCCTTCACTGGTGCCATCCACGCTTGGCCCCGCCCGAGCCTCCCCACATCTGCACGCCCTCCCGCTCACCCCTTCATGCCTCCCCTACGCACAGCCCTCCTCTGCACCCTGTGAGCACCGGCCCTCCGCTTGCAGTCCTCACCTGTCCGCTCAAAGGCTGTTCCAGCTACAACCGGCTTCCTGAGCTGGATGCGCAGCTCTGGCCAAGGTAGGGCAGGACCGGTAGGGGACTCGTGCGAGGCAGAAGATAGTGGGTGGGCAGGGCCTGGAGGGCTGAGGGCGGGGCCGGGAGAGGCGTGGCCTGCGGGAGGCGCCGGAGTGGCCAAAGCAGCCAGGCAGGGCGGGGCATGCGATGCGGGGGGCGGGGTCTGGAAGGCCGAGGCATGGCCTGTGGGAGGCGCCGGTTTGGCCGGAGCAGCCGGGCGGGGCGGGGCCTGGAAGGCGGGGCGGGGTGGGGCGGGGCCGGGGGAGCCGCGCTTGTCCCCAAGGCGGGCTTGTCCCCTAGGCGGGCCCTGGGCGGATGCCCCGCCACCGCGGCGCTGCGTCTGCGGGAAAGAGATCTGTTCGGGGAAGCCGCGCTCGCGCGGGACTTCCCAGGATTACAGTTTATGGCTCTCTCGGTTTCCATCCTCTCCCGCTTATTCCTGGAAGAGCCTGTAGGACTCCAGCGGGTCGCTAGTGGGTGTCACGGTGCCCCCAAGCTGCCGACACCCTCCCGTCCAGGTGCTGGGGTCTGGTCGGCCCAGTCCAGAGGCACTGATGAGAGCTGCGCACTGGACAGCTGTCAGAACCTGCAGGCCCGGGCTTGGGTATGGGGAAAGCTCTAACTCAAAGCAGGAGGGGTAGGGTTGGACAGTGAGGGGCCATTAGCTGTGCTCCTAATCCCCACCAGGCAGACGAGTTGATGAAGAAAATGGACCCCTGCCCATGTTTCAAAGAGGCCAACATAGAGTATGGTGCTGCCAGCAGGTCAGTCTGTATCTGTGAGGCAAGTGCATCAGCAGTCTGATGGCGCCTTCAGACTTCCAGATACCCCAAAATTGCTGCTGTGCCTTTGGCCAGACCCCTAAAAACTTGGGGCAAAGTTCACCAAGAAAGTAAATGGCCAAAAGTTAGGTATGTGGGAGACACACCCACAAACCACCTCCGGCTCAGCTATATAATTGGAGGCAAGGCCTCTCTGGTTCCTGATTGAACTTAACGGCCATGACCCCAGAGACTCAGGGACAAATCTCAGAACCCAGCAGCTTTTGGCAGAGATGTATCCAGTTCCCACAACGGGTTAACCGGCGCCAGGCCACCCCAGAGGGGAAGGGTGCTGTCCCTCCGCCTGCTCCCCCTTGGCGGCTCAGTAGCTGCCATTCTCCAGAGGCCATTGGAAAGTCAGGTTTGGGTCCGCAGTGATGAGACATGGTGGGGCCTCACGGGGATGGGGGTGGAGTCGGCCCTTTCCTCCCCATCCCAACGAGACTCCAAATCCCCGCCCATGAATGGCGTCTCTGGCTCCTGATCAAGATGTTTAACAGCTCTGATCCCAGAGACTCAGAAACAAATCTCAGAACTCAGCGGCTTTTGGCAGAAATGCGTCCAGTCCCTGCAGTAGGTTACCGGCAGTGGGCTACCCCAGGTGGGAATAGGTTTTGTGCCTTGGCCTGTTCCCCCTGGAGGCTCGGTGGTTGCCATCCTTCAGAGGCCATTGGACAGTCAGGTTTGGGCCCGCAGGGATGAGACATGTGGGGCCTCACAGGGTGGGAGTGGAGCCAGCCCTTTCCTCCCCGCCCCAATGAGACCCTGAGTTGCCACCCACGAACGGCCTCTCTATCTCCTGACCAAGCTGCTTAACAGCCATGATCCCAGAGACTCAGAAACAAATCTCAGAACCCAGCGGCTTTTGGCAGAAATGCATCTGGACCCCGCAGTAGGTTACTGTTGCCAGGCCACCTCGGGGGGAAAGGGGGCTGTCCCTCCGCCTGCTCCCCCTTGGTGGCTCGGTGGCCGCTATCCTCAAGAGGCCATTGGACAGTCAGGTTTGGGCCCTCACTGACGAGACATGTGGGGCCTCACAGGATGGGGGTGGAGCTGGCCCTTTCCTTCCTGCCCCAATGAGACCCGAGTCGCTGCCCACGAATGGCCTCTCTGGCTCCTGATCAAGCTGCTTAACGGCCATGATCCAAGAACTCAGGAACAAATCTCAGAACTGAGCAGGTTTTGGCAGAAATCCCTCCAGATTTGTTAAAATTTCAGAATTCCAAAATTGCGCAGCCACTACTGCAGCCATGTGACATCATATGTTATTCATAACCTGCAAAGGAAAACAAATTGTCTACTGTTTCCTTTTCAGCAGATCTGAGTATTGGGGTAAGATCCCAAAGTAATGGTGGGTCTGGAATATTGAATGTAATCAAAGTAGAGAGAGTAATATGGAAATCATCTGCCACACATGTAGAGGGAGGGTGTGGAATGGGGAGTATACTGGGGTTTTTGGTGGAGGAAAATGGGCACTGGTGAAGGGATGGGTGTTTCACTGTATGACTGAGACTTAAACCCAAAAGTTTTGTAACTGCTCTCACAGTGATTCAATAAATAAAATTATAAAAAAGGGAAAAAAAAGTAAGGTGGAGTTCATACCCAATTCAATCAGCCTAATCAATGGCTGAATAAATATCAATACTCCTACATAAAAACAAAAACAAAAAAACAAAGAGGCCAACAGGAGGAGCAAGGGCTGCCCAGGGGCAGCTGAATCGGGGTGACATGACAGAATCATGGGTGTGTTCCCAACATCCA